CCCTGGCATCACAGCTCAGAGAAATGTCCAGCTCTTGGGCTTAGGCGATTCTCTTGGCTCAGCCTCCCGACTGCTGGGAGGCGCCACAATGCCTGGCTATTTCTGTTGTTGTTGTTGTTGTTGTTGTAGTTTTTGGCCGGGACCGGGTTTGAACCTGCCACCTCCGGTAGATGAGGCCGGCGCCCTACTCCTTAAGCCACAGGCGCCACCGGCCCAGCTATATTTTTGTTGCAGTTTGGCCGGGGCTAGGTTCAAACCCACTACCCTCGGTATATGGGGCCAGCGCCCTAGTCACTGAGGCACAGGCGCCGCCCAGCCACAGCATTTCTTGATCCCTTGTTTTTACAAGCAGAACTCTTGCTTCCTGACCTGAGTGTTCTCTGCATGTTGGAGAGAGGAAAAAAGCCCTGGACTGTGGAGACTGAAGTGAAAACACCAAGAAATTCAAAGTGGGGGAAATGGATCAAAGGCGTGCGCTCAGGTAAGAGCTCAGGTGGCCACACTGTTACACAGTATGTGGGAAAGTCTGCAAGTAGAGAGGAAATTCTCAGGTGGAGCAAAACGTTGTCCTGTGAGCTCTAAGCAGGAATCTGTCTCAGCTTACCACTGTGTTCTTTAGACATGGAATAGTTTATTTTTCACCCTCCAGTAGTGCTGCAGTCCAGAAACCGAGGTAAATTCTTTATTTTATTAGGCAAGACCTCCGTGAACTCTGGTCCTATGACTGTGTGTGACAGAGGGAGGGCCATTTCAAAGGGGTCTCTTTCCCCTGACCTCTGAATTACTCCTACCACTTCCTACGTTTTGTCCCATAAACAGATGAAATTGGGCACCAGGGGAAAGGGCCGCAGCGTAAGCGGGTCCAGAGCCGCCCTGCCCACCCTCGACGCCCCGCCCCTTGTCCGTGCCCGCCCACAACCTCTCCGGTTTCCCCGCCTCTCCGCACGCAGGTGCCAGCAGACCCGGAAGCCGCTGACTGGAACGAGGCGATCCCGGGTCCCGGTGAGTTTCTCTTTTTGCGATCACGTGTTTGCTTCCCAATCCCCAGCCCCTCTATACCGGGATTTGGGGGGCCGTAGCGACCTCAAATCCCCGCACGGCTCCTGCTACCCCGAGTAAATTCACGTCCCAGTGAGCGTCCGGAGTCTCTTCCCTGTGAACTGAGTCGCCCTGAGGCAGGTCCTGGCCCCCGTCTTTCTCCCACAGGTATGGGACACACCCCATTTTGCACCGTGTTGCTCCCCCCCCTTGAGTGACCCCTGCACTCCTTCCCGCGCCCCCTAAAGTCCTCACTCTGGTGGGGGATTCACGCACTTCCGGGTGCCAGGCCTAGCCCGAGTGTCCCTGGAGGGCAGCGCCACAGTCCAGCTCTCCGAGGAGCCCCGTCCTGTCCCTGTTCCGGGGGTTCTGCAGACCCCACCTCAGCCCTAGCCCGTCCCCTCAGCCTTACCCCGCCATTGTTCTTCTTGGCGGGTCAGCTCCCCAGGCCAGTCCTCAGTCACCAGTTCCTCTAAGAAGCGTGGGACACCAAACGCCCTCCTGTTATAGGGCGGACGCGAGATAGCAAGACTCAAAGTCAATTAAGATATTGCCAATTAGGAAGTCTGTATTAAAGAAAAGACCGAGCAGCCGGCTGTTCCTCGAATATGGAGAGCAGCCCAGACCACCAGTAGAGTTCAGCTTATATAATGTGGGCTGATGCAATCTTGGGTGAGTTTGCAGGTTCAGAAAAGTGATTAGAAGGTGGGTATTGTTTAAATGCTTACAGGGGATACAAGAAAAATAATCAGGTATCCAGTCACATTGGTTTTAATCCCTCCCAACAATATCTTTCTAGCCACCATGTCTGGTTGGGCGTCTCAGTATAGTGGGGGACGCAGAGAGTAAATTGAGGAAGTGCAGACTAGTTTCTGCAGCTGGGACTTTTCAGCACCACTACCTCTGCTTCCCCCTTTTTCCTTCTGTCTCCTTTAACATTTCCTTAAACAGTAAACAATTTATGATGATTTCCTACACACTTATACTAAATGTCTAATGTTTTCTACTGTTTATTATTTATTATTAATCTTTTTGTTACCTATTGAAATAACTTAGGGGAGCTGGAAAAATAGACTCGGACCCCCACTTAGGTTAATTAATTGGTAATTTATTTTACCTGCTGCAGGGTATGCTGTTCCGAGAGACAGTCAGCAGCCGAGGTGTGAGGGTGAGTTGCCTTTTATAGGATTTGTGCAAGCATATTACAGAAGCAAAATGTGGCTGGTTAAGGGGGGGTTACAACTTGGGTAGTCATGGATACAGCAATGGAACAATAATTAATACAGCTTTGGTTGACAATGGATACATCTCGTATCACTATGGTTATGGTTATACAACAGTAATTAATCAAGTCTCAGTGAGTTTTCCACTATTGTTCATCTACTGAGAACTTGGGGGTTTTGTGAAACTTGGGACTTTTCTTCCTTGTACCTGAAGCTTGTTCTTGGCAACCCTAGGGGAAGGAGGGGGCCTGGGAATGTGGCTGGGAAGCACTATTCTCAGCTACCATGGGGGGAGGAGGGACTTGCCTTGTTCCAGAGTTGACTCTGGGGGGGAGAAGGGAAGAGGAGGGAAATAGGCTGGAGGGAGGGGAGAAGTGAGGGCTGAGGAACAGGAGTGGGCAGGGGAAAGAGGGCTGGGTTACAACACTATTTTACCTACTCCTAAATTATTGTTAAGCCTTAGTAACTTCCCTAAACTAGTGTCAAGCAGTCTCCCTCCCCCCTCCCACTATTGATTGTGTCTTGCTGATTTAGCAAGAATTTAAGGGTGAAGCAAAAAGGAAGGCAACAAAGGGGAGTGTGAGAGTGACAGGATTTTTATCCCATCTCACTCTCAAACGTAATTCTGTGCACTGTTTAGGTGAGCATGTTATTCCTATTTCTTGCTGATGAATGTGTTGCAGGAAGATGAGGCCCAATGGAGAGGAAGAGCACCCAAACCCCACATTTAAAAGAGGAAGGGCTATTTATTTATTTATTTATTTGAGACAGAGCCTCAAGCTGTCACCCTGGGTAGAGTGCTATGGCATCACAGCTCATAGCAACTTCCAACTCTTGGGCTTAAGCATTCTCTTGCCTCAGCCTCCCAAGTAGCTGGGACTACAGGTGTCCTCCACAACCTCCAGGTAGTTTTTGGTTGTAATTGTCATTGTTGTTTGGCAGGCCTGGGATGGATTCAAACCTGCCAGCTCTAGTGTATGTGGCTGGTGCCTTAGGTGCTTGAGCTACAGGCACTGAGTCTCTTTCCTTTTTATTGACAGTCAAAAAGTTCCACCCCACAGGTATCCTTCTCCTTGGCCAGTTTGAATTAAGCAGGAGATGCTCTTTCAGCCCCTACAGAACTACAGGATTTCACAGAACTTGGATATTTCCAAGTTTCAGGAAGTTAAGTTTACAAATTCCCAAGAGCTGGGAGTCCCCCAAAGAAGTTGTCACTGGAAGAAACCACACAAACATTAGTGACTAGAGGTGAAATGTTCAGTGTCCAGAATGAGTAGTTTTTCATATTTCAAACATTAAAGGGAAAACATTGGCTCGGCGCCTGTGGCTCAGGCGGCTAAGGCACCAGCCACATACACCTAAGGTGGCGGGTTCAAATCCAGCCCGGACCCGCCAAACAACAATGATGGCTGCAACCAAAAAATAGCCGGGCATTGTGGCGGGCGCCTGTGGTCCCAGCTACTTGGGAGGCAGAGGCAGGAGACTCGCTTGAGCCCAGGAGTTGGAGGTTGCTATGAGCAGTGAAGCCATAGCACTCTATCCAGGGGGACAGCTTGAGGCTCTGTCTCAAAAAAAAAAAAAAGGAAAACATTTTCTTTTTCTTTTTTTTTTTTTTTCCTGAGACAGAGTCTAATTTTGTCATCCTTGGTAGAGTACCGTGTTGTCACAGCTTACAGCAACCTCCAGCTGTTGGGCTTAAGCAATTCTCTTGCCTCAGCCTCCCAAGTAACTGGGACTATAGGTGCATGCCACAAGGCCTGGCCTTTTGCAGTTGTCATTGTTCTTTAGTTGGCCCAGGCAGAGTTCTCACTTACCAGCTTTGGTGTATGTGGCTGGTTCCCATAAGTACTGTTTTACGGGCGCTGAGCCATTTATGACTTTATCATAGCTCACAGCAACCTCAGACACTTGGATCAAGATGTCCTCTTGCCTCAGCTTCCCCACTACCTGAGAGTAGAGGTACCCAGCATAACATTTGGGTAATTTTTCTGATTTTAGTAGACACAGGACCTCTTTGTTGCTCAAGCTGGTCTAGAACTCATCAGCTGAAGGGATCTTCCTGTTTCAGCCTCCCAGAGTGGTAGGATTATAGGCGTGAGGCACCGGGCTGGCTCAGAATTTCCTCCTCTCTCCCCTGAACTCTGGGATTCAGTGTCTCATTGTGTCCTCACCTCTCTCGCGGTCCATCTGAGAGGTTTCTTCACCTTCACGTGTCCTAAGGCGACTTTCTGAGCACTGTGAAACATGTTCTCCTGCAGTCCTCATATCTCAGAGCAGAATGACCCTGTGCTCCCTGGGGCTCATGGAACTTCTTGTCAAATATTTAACATGATAAGCACCATGTGCGTTGTACTTAAATCATGCAAGTTTTGGACCTGGGGCCTCGGGAAGCATATATCACTCACACATCTCTTGACCTGTCTTAACATAAGGAAACACCATGGTCCCAAGGAACAATTTTGTTATACTGTGTTAGAATATGGAAGACATTGTAAATTTTACTCTGTCACCTAGGGTAAAGTGTCATGTCATCATTATAGTTTACAACGACCTCAAACTCTTGGAATCAAGCAAACCTCTTGTGTCAGCCTGCCTAATACCTGGGAATACAGGTGCCCTCCATGACACCTGGCAATTTTCTTCTATTTTTAGTCATGACAGGGACTCACTTTGCACAGTCTAGTCTCAAACACCTGAGCTCCAGCAGCCCACCTGCCGG